TATGTTCTGTATGTAATTGTGCCCGTCTATCTCGTTACGCGTTTAACTAAATAACAATGTGGGGATACAAAGAGGTCCAAATAAAAACAAAAAAATCGATTTTTTATACTCCGATTTTTGTATAAGACCTTTACTCTTCACTTAACAGAAAAAAATGACCTTCCAATGACTAATTAATGTTGATAATTAGAGTTTATGGAGCAAATTAACATTTTGGTTACGAGTTTTAGCAACGGAAGACTGAGGATCATGTGTTTTTGTATGAAGAGATCGTAATTATAACCTTTTTTTTTCCTAAGAATATTTCATATAAGGGAATTGATTTTTTTTTTTATTTCTATAGCTTTAACTTTTTTTTTTCTACTTTGATAATTAAATTTAAAGATAAAGGTTGGCGAAATTGGCGTTAGACGATTTGTCTGGTGAATGTGGGGACTCTTGAATAATTTTGGTGTATTTTAGTTACATAGCTGGTGACCAAAAAAGAAAAAGAAATAGTTATGATTACATCATTATTAACAAATGGTTTGAAGAGTAGAATGCAAGAAAGTTTGGATTCACAATTATTAGTAGGTATGGTTTTAAGGTTGATTATGTTCGTTAAAATGCAATATAAACGGTTTTAATGTGATGATTAACAATTTGAGATGGTTAATATCCAAAAACTTTTAAATCAAGAAAACACGAACCCAAATTGGAAAAAAATCTGATTCTAACTGGAACAAACCGGTCCTATAACTGGTAACTTCAAATAGTCTTAAACAGCTCAATATCAAGTGTCATTACCATCAAAACCATGGACGCTTCAAGATCAATGCTAATGATGGTGTCACCGAGGAACTCCCAATTCTAAGAGACGATGAGAAATAGGAAGAAAATCAGCAAACAAGATTCAGAGATTTTGCGATGAACCATCAAGAAGAACATGGAACTTGACATCAAGAACAGAAGAAAAGAAAAGTTGAGTTTCAATGCGGATAAAAAGCCCGAAAAATGTGTGGATCCATATAGCGATAGAAAGACCGCAAGAACTTTGAAGCAACAAGCCCTTGTGAACCATAACAATACATGGACGAAGATTGAACTACAAAGTACTATCCTTGTTCATTCATTGTGTGAAAGCAAGTCCTAATATTTTGATTATTTTCTCGCCTTATATAGATCCAGCAGAGACCGGGGTCACAAAGGCGTGGCAAGTCCTATCGCATTAAGTAGAAGAACCATAAGTCAGAGATACAAAGCTTTAGGACAAACACAAAGCAACTAAAGAATCTAAAGACCAATCGTACATTTCAACAAGACATACATTCTATAATAGAAATAACACAACAAACTCAAAAATCTATCAAAGTTTTGATTTTTATCACACTTAGTTCCTTATGGAAACCATATTGAGTGAAGTGTCATATATTTCACATCTGAAGCAGTTTTGTTTGTTTCAGTTTCAAAGACTATAGACTAATGAAAACCCTCCCATATGCCACAATTACTATTATTCCATCTAAATCTTGCAATCTCCAAGAGTTTTAATCCCATTTCATAAGTGAGTCTCTAGCTTACTAATCAATAAATCTCCAGGTTCAATCTTATTCTCAAAAGTTTCCACATTCCACAAAAACCACTGATAAAGCAATGAAAACAGATACAACCCACCAAAAAACTAGCCCAATGACAACTAATTCAATGAAAAAGAGATGAAAAATATACCCTGAGAAAGCAAGCTCCAACAAGAGGAACCAGCAGCAATGTTTGACCTAAGTCGAGCTGAAGCAACCGCACTGTGAAGTGGAATCATACTTTCGACACTTGCCAAAGCCGAAAGAACCCTTCACATTTCATTGAGAAAGTTTTCGATTAAACATGAACATTCAAAAAATATAGTGTTTATTGGAACGAAAGACAGCGAATTTAGCATATGAAAATGTGTTAAATTGATTGAATGAGCTGAATGATTGAGTACTAACCTTGAAGCGCGAGGGATGGATTGAGACACTGAAGGGAAAGGAGAAGAAGTCGTTGTGGGTTTAAGATTGAGAGACTTTTGAGTTACGGTTCTGGATCTAGATACTAAGTTTCTAGAACCTGCCATTAAAGCTGATCTGCAAAACGAAGCCATCTCTGGATTTTTTTTCCACGGAAATCTCAAGCAGCGACGACAAGTGAATTAAGATCACTAAACCCTACCCAAAAACGGCGTCGTATCAAAGTTTGAGGAAATAACAATCGCCCTTACACTACTTAATTTGTTTGGATCAAAATTTTATAACACCCTTTCTCTCGACACCAAACCTCTAATACCAAAAAAAATTTTATATAACCCTCTAACCTTTAATGAAGTGGTAAATTACCAAAGTTACCCTAAACTAATAATTAAAAGATAAAAGAAAAAAAAGAATAGATCAGAATCTTCCCCGCGACATCTCAATCTCCTCACCATCACCATTGATCCGAATCCGAAGCACATTTGTTCAATTGAAGCCCAATCGGATATTCTTCTTCTTTCCGTGGTCCGCGACATCACCATTGATCCAACCATCACCATTGATCCGAATCCGAAGCACGTTTGTTCAATTGAAGCCTAATCCGCCATTGAAGCACCTTTGTTTCAATTGAGGTGCGTTCTACTATGTTATAGCTTTAAATTCAGTAGCTCGGATAGTAATGAAGTTGAGAAATCCGCAAGTTGGAAGATATCCAACTGGATTTGGGATTATCTCCAATTATCTTGGATCGTAGAGGATTAGTGAATCTCGGGCCAGAATTGAAAAATGCAGACT